CGTGCGCTGTAAATTCGTCTATGCGTATAATGCCTGTGTCGAATTTGTTACTCGATTTGCAAGTTCAGCAAGCCCGACATGTCGAATGTTGAATGTTCCGGACGAGTGTTTTACTCGCGATCGTTAACTATCGCGCTACTGCGAATAACAACGAAATCTTGCAAAATGCAACGCGCGGTTCATTTCGTATCGTAATGTCAAATCTAACGCTTCGCAACGTATAACGCGCAAATGCAGTCCTTTCGATTCGTCCTCATCGAACGGCTCCGTGTACACTTTGTGCAGGATCAACGAGCAACATTGTTCATTTCTCTCGAGCTTGTGAATAATTTGATTCGCGAGAGAGTCCAGAATTTCCGCGTAGGTGTGTATTTGTTTCCATTTGTCACTTATTATTACCGCTTATTATTACTCATACTGGCAAGCTATTGTTGTGTATGTACGTTACGTCTAAGGTACATCTTCACGTTAACGATCTACTACGAATAAATTAGTTTAAGGCTACTTTCTCTCAGCTCGTCGTTTATCATATCTAGTACTTGAGAAACTATCGTCGAATCACTTGAACGGTTAATGAACGCGGTCGTCGTACGACGAAGCGATCCGATGCTCAATAAGGCCGTGATAAGTTGACTTGACAATCGTTTATTGCTTGGATCATGAATAATTATCTAAACAATGTCCATCGATCAGCTCATTTGCTTCGTGCTCGAGATACCTAGCTTTCAAATTGCGCTGAACATAATAAAGAGATTCGAAAAAGAGAGGAATCTCACAATTTCAAGCGTGAGAATACAAGAGTTACATTTCTCACAAGTCAAGATAGAATCGCCAAGAATTTTGATGGCGGAAAGCGGCCTGGTTTCGCTCAGTCGTGTGAATTTTCGCATCGGGCGCTCCTCTTCGCACGACAAACGCACAGTTCTGTATAATATATACTATAATAATAATAACTCTTACACGCTACGCTAGGTTATTTTTTTATTAGACTTATACGATGCTTAGTTTGGTCTAAAACGGACGTCGACTGCTAATTAGACTGCGCGTGTGTTTGTGACGGTGATAACGCTAATCATGACAGTTACGTAAGAACTTAATTACGACGGCGATTAATATTAGTTACAATAATTTATGCGGGTAATAATAATATTAATTATAATAGTTACAAGAACAACAATAATCTCGACGATCGCGACGGGAGAAAAACAATAGCGACGATAATAATAGTAATAATAATAAGATGGATTATCTACAAGGGTGCGCGATGGCGGATGATGATGAATCGCGTGGATGCCATTACTACCGTGTACGTGCAGAAAACGACAGTCTTTCGACTGTTGCGCGATAATACACGTGTCTACGCTGATAAATAACGGAGCCCCTCTCGTTAACTCAAAACAACGTCGCGCGCATTCGCACGCGAGAGTAACAAAAAGAACGAAGTCTACGCTAATTCAACACTTCGAACCGATCACCAATTGTACATAACGCCGAGGGGTCAGGGAGGGAGGAAGGGAGGAGGTTAGAGGAACGGAGGTGGGACGAATGTGTGCGCGCCAGGATCGTCCTCAAATCTTTCGTTATGGATTACTCGGTGCGATTATATAGTTTCTAACGATATTACTGCTCGTTAATACGCTAATTGCACGCGGATGTACGCACGCACGCATTCACTCATACACGCGCGCACTGTCACGCAGTTAATTAATCGCGGTTCGCGATGGACGCACACACACACACACACACACACACACACACACACACACACACACACACACACACACACATGCACGTTCGTATACATGCATACATATACACATACACATACACACACACACACACACACTCACACTCACAAGTGCAGCGCGTTCGTACATTCAGCCTATAACGCCGCCGACCGAGCGCTGCTCGATTTCCCCGCGAGCTGATTTTCTCGATAGGAAAATACACGGGAAATCGATTGTCTCGTGATCGTGTCGTGCTGTCGTGAAAACGATTAATCAATCGCGCGAACCCCAGAGCCGATGAAGGCTGTGCGGGGGGGGGAGGGGGGAAGGAGTAGCCGACGGCGTTTTGCACAGTCGTACCGTACTAGGAAAAAAGGAACTAACGAGATTTCCTGCGCCGGTACGATCTGACCTTTCGATCGTCAAGCAACTCGCCGATCGTCTCTCCACAGACTTGCCGTTTCGTGGTTTCTAGGTGTCGGGTGAGTGCAAAAAATTTTATGGGTTCTTCCAGAAATGTGACTGATGTCAGTCTTACGGTAGTGCTCGCAAATATGAAGACGTCTGACACGCAGAAGATAAAAAAAGAGAAACAATGGCGATCACTCGGTAAAATAAATAAATAATTTTCGATAAAATGACTTAGTCCATTTTTTATCGCAGAACCCATGCAAATTTTTGCACTCACTCGGTGCAACGCAAGTACGTATCTCGCAATTATCGCTCAGAAGGAGACGAAAAAAGCCGAAGCGAAGCGCGACGAGAAGTTGAGAGCGTTCTTCCCACGTTTTCCATCTCTGACGATTTTTGCTCGAGGCCTCGGATCGCGATTCGACTCGACTCGATTCGATTCGACAGCTCCGTGGCTTGCCCGCGACGAATGGTAATTACACGAAGATAAGGCGAGGTGTCTTCGGATGAGAGATCAGGTCGATACCGGCTGCTGTGGATAATGAGTGCGCGTATCAGTCTCTTCGCGGATGCGTTTGACGAAAGAAGAAAAGAAAAAGAAAGGGGAAAGAAAAACGAGAGAAAAAAAAACAACGACTCCCTTTCAACACTTCTTCTTAATCTCTAAGTGCGTTCGACTTGGAACGCCAATCTCGTACGAAGGCTCGAAAATCTCGGGCGAGGTTCCACGATTGTGCGATCTTGCGCGGACGCAGATCGCGGCGTTCGAGCGCGACTCTCTCGCAGAAAGTCTCATTGTTCTTCGTCGTGCGTCGCATACGTAAAAAAGGAAAACGAAACAAACGGGAAATCAAAGGAGAAGGAAAAGAAACGTCCTCGAAGTAAAACGTCCGGGCGTCGCGCCGATTAAACTCCCTCTCGCACACGGGACGAAAATACGAAGAAACATCGTCGTCCAAAAAGAAAAAAGAAAAAGGCAAAAAAGAAAAGAACTCATTCGCGTATAAGTTCAAAGTGACCGCTCTTCCTCGGTCGCGAGAGAGAAAGACGAAACAAGACGTCTATCGCGTGAGAACGTCGCTGTGTGGCTTATTAGAACTGCCGCTGGAGAAAGCGATCGTCCGATGACCGCTGTCGTCGTCGTCGTCGTCGTCGTCGTCGTCGTCGTCGTCGAGAGTGATTTCACGGCGAAATTCGCGCGACGGGAGTCGCACGCCGCGTCGTGGCGACGGAAATGCCGCCGCCGGCGATATCCTCTCTCTCTCTTTTTGTATACAATTCGGCGCGTCGAACGCCGCGCATTTGGAAGGCATTTCAGAAGGCATTGAATTCCTAGTGTGTATTGTCGCGGGTTGACATCGATTATCATGCCTTGACCTACCTACGAGCATGCGATTCCGCTGTGTCTTTGTACGATTAAAGAAAAGTCGCCGCGACGAGAAAGCGAGAGCGAGAGCGACGATGAATCTCTCTCGTGACGCGCTCGTTAATTGTGTCTTCTGCGTGTCTGTGTCGTGTCGCCGTAGGAGGCCGACAACGCGGCTCGTCTCGCGCGTCAAAGTCGATTAAAAAAGTGCGTCATCGAGCCCCGTCGGGAGGGAAGGAGGGGGACTCGCTGAGCGCTGAGTTTTTCGTTGTACTATCGAGACAGCTGCACCTTTTTACATCTCGCGGATACTTTCGGCAGGTATCGGGGAGAAGGTTCTTCCGAAAAGTCACGGGGCAGTCGCGGTTAGTATGTCACCGCGATTATGTATATTCGATATATTTTAATATCCCCTCTCGTGCGTCGCCTCGGATGTTTCGATGATGCGACATCTCCGGTCTCTGATTTAGCGCGAGCGTAAAGAACGATCCACCTTCGCGCAAATCGATCAGTAGACTGTTAGTGCGCGAACATGCGGAACGTTTTCTCTTTTTGCCGTATCGCGGCGCCGTATGCAATGCGCGCGTTTTCTCATTTTTATCCTTTTGCACTGGCGCTCGCTACCACCGGGCAGGACCTCGCCGCCTCGTCCGGACTGATCAGCGATAGATTGCGCTGAAAAGCTGCAACGTTACATGTTAATGCCGAGTTTGAGGATGGGGGGGGAGCGGGCAGGAAGAGCGCGCGGCCCCGCCGGGGTAACGACAGCGATGCAAATTTATGCTAAGGGAAACGGAAAAACGATTGCTCCTAGATTCGATAACATCCGCTGAATAATGAAGGAAGGACCTGCGCGCGCGGAGGAAACTCACGATGAACCGATCGTCCTTTGGTAATACGAGGCAATGGACGCGGGACGAGGTCGTTCGCCGTTCCAGCGGTTGAATCCTTTTCGCATCCAGGAGTCCTCTCGCGTGAAGGAGAGACAGAAGGGGCTAGAGATAGAGGCAGAAAGAGAGAGAGAGAGAAAGAGGAGTATGAAGGAACGATCATTAGATTCTTGAAGAAATTATGCGCCGGACGTTGATCTCCTTTGGGCGTTGCAGTCGCGAGATGGACTGACTGTGTATAAACGTAAAAAATCTCCCGGCTGGATTCCGTAGATTTTCGAAACAAGTCCCGCGCAAACCGTGCGATGAATCGCGCGTAAACGCTAAGCAAACGACTGGTATAAAAGTTATAAAAAAGGGGCCGACTCGCGCGAAGCTCTCGCGAATCCGGCGGCCGCGCGTTCGTAAATAATCTTCGCGTCCAATCGAGCGCGGCGTGAACGCTGCTCTATTTACGTCTATCGTTAAAAGTGATTAATCTTACGGATAGATGCAATCGCGCTCTCTCTCTCTCTCTCTCTCTCTCTCTCTCTCTCTCTCTCTCTCTCTCTCTCACACGCACACACGCACACGTGTACACATATCGCCGGCCGATATTATTAATATCAATAAACGTTGCCGCCGTGCTCGCTGCGAGAGAGAGAGAGATAGAGAGAGAGAGAGAGAGAGAGAGATGGATAGATAAAAAAGAAGAAGAACGCGCGGCCCGATCATAAATCACGTTTGTTTCTGCCCGTTAACGAGGCCCGAAGAGAGTAACGCGCGTCATCGTGTCTGTTTGTCAGCGCGCGCTTATCGCCGGTGGATCCCGGCTTACAAACGGGATTCGCTTATAAACCGGCCGGCTTACAAACAAATTCGCGCGCGCGCGCCAAGGATAACGCACTCCTGGCTCCTGGCCGTTTCTCCCGGCAGTGTGTCCCGGGCGTACACGTCGCTCGACGACCCCGCCATTCACGACGTCGCGGTGTCACACCGTCCACGAGGTGTGACCCGTCGCGGGTCAACGGGATCTCGCTCAGGGAGGAGGCTCAGTTTCGCGTTGCGTGAGGCGGATAGTCTGCGACGACCGGCGTCGCCGCGACGGGGAACACCCGCGCAGCAAGCGCCGCGAGCGCAATCCCGCGATTCCTCTCGCAGGGGCGAGGGAGGGGGGGTCCTCGCCCGTCGTCTGCCGCGGCGAAACGAAAGTGAGCCGCGGGTGCTCGTTATACGGTCCCTCCTCGGTCGTCTGGCAAGTCCGACGGTAACGTATGCGCTGCCATCGGGAGCTTTCGTCGAATTACTGCGGCGGCAGGCGGCTCCTCCTCGCGGTAGTCCCGACGATCCTTGACGAAGGGCCACGGCGAAGTTCGCGGCGGATCGCTCGGATTGCCTCCGCTTGTCGCGCTCGCTCGTCTGTTCCTCGAGCGCGGCGACAGGTCGCGTTCGACAGATCCCCTGAACGGAAATGTCCCGAAAGAGCGCGTCTAAATCATCGGCGAACTTCCTCGGAAGTCGCGCACGCCGAGAGGGAGTAGCAGGGGCGAGAGGGGTAGGGGAAGGGGGAAAAGATGCGCCACCCTAGCAGATGGTCTCCAACGGTGCGGTCTTCGTGCTCGGATTCTGCGTCACGCTATCACCCATGCTGGGCATTCCGTGGCTGGTCGTGCTGTGGCCGTTACCCTGCCTGCCGGCGTTGGTCTGCGGGTTCCTGTTGCAGAGCCTCTTGAGGGCCGCTCTGACCTGCGGCTGGCAGCCGACCGCCGCAAAAATCAGCACTCCCTGGCAGGCGTTTATCAAGTCGGTGAAGTACCAGATGTACTGGGGCCCGCCGACCGCCCATGAGACCACGTCCGCCACCCAGGTGATGCCCATGACGATGACGAGTTTCATGCATATGCGACCCAAGGTTGCCCTGAAGACAGAGGGGGAAACCGATGATTCAGCTGTGAACGTAATATGCCGCCAATTTAAGCGGCGAGAGTTTCCTCAGTTACGTATTATTTTCATTAAATAACAGATTTAATGCGAGTGTCTGTGTTGCGGTTAATTGAGCGGTAACAGCGCTCTTCAATTTAACAGTCGACGGCGAAGGCTCGCGGATGGACGGACGAGAGAGGTCCTCGGATCGATAGGTACGCGCGTTAACCCTTTGCTGCATAGTGATCCTCCCAGAGTGCCACCTATCATCCAAGCTTGTTTTTCCAATAATTTACATTTTCACATACTTCTTTAGCATATTTGGCATCGTTGGACTATTAAAATGTTCCTCTGACTAATACATCAACTTTTAGAGTCACTTCAAATAAGTAATTTGTAGAGATGTGCGAACTATTCGAATTTGAATCCCTATGATTCGAATCCGAATAATTCGAATAGGAATCAAATACATTATCGTTTGCGTGTGCATCAGCTACAAAACTGGCCATCTGGGCCTGTGTATGTTTGAACCCTTAACTTGTAATTAACTTAACTTATAATTAATAATTACTTAATTACAAATTACTTTAAATATTTAAATATATATTTTACTTTAAGATGATGTTACAATATCAATATATTCCCTTTCATGTTAAAATTTTCCATCATTATTTGCATGTTTAATAGTTATGTTAAATTTCTTAATGATTCGAATTCGAATTTAAAAAATGAGATTCGATTCAATTCGATTCGACATAAAAATTCTTGATTCGCACATCTCTAGTAATTTGTCATTAATAAGTATATACTGAACAAAACTGTCATTTTTAGAGAATAAATTCGTTTACATGAAATTTTAAGCAATAACGTGTACTTCAAAATCATTATCTGGGGGCTGTTGGGCTGCTGAATACAAATCCAGTGTGAAAAATACAAAATTCAAAATGGCAAGCGGAATTTTCAAAATCGAGTCGAATTTGCTTGAAACTTGTTACTCGGGAGTTTTTGAAGTCGCTGAATATGAATCCGTGAAAAATACAAAACTTAAAATGACGGATCTCATATGGCGAACATAATTATAGAAATGAAACAAGCTGCTTGCGCTTCAGACCTCGACTGGTGTCAACCGAACCTTGTCGTATATATCCGTCATAGCTCTGGTGTTTCGAATTTTCAATAACGAATTTGTAATTAGCAACCTCGAAAACCCTCGAAAACAACAAATTTCAAGCGAATCCTCGGCTGACTTTGAAAATTTCGTCCGCCATGTTGGATCCGTCATTTTGAATTTCGTATTTTTCACACCGGATTTGTATATTCAGCGACCCTAAACATTCCCGAGTAACAAGTTTCACAAAATCATATTCATTACGTGATTTGCGAAAAAAACGTGCAACAAAGGGTTAACAAGCGCTGCTCGAGCACTCGCCGAACCTTCCCCGCGTTCGTCGCGCGATTCCGCCCGCGCTGCGTGTCTCGATAGTACACGTGCGCGACTTGGAAACTCGAGGAGAAACACGTTGTCAGGCGAGGAATCAGAATTCGAGCGGCTGTATCGGTCGGCCGTCCGAGAAGAATGATAATAGAATGTCATGTAAGTCACGTTTGTAATATTAGCCGAGCCTGTCAGTTAGCCGGCACACATATGAGCGAGAGAGAGAGAGAGAGAGAGAGAAAAAGAGAGAGAGAGAGAGAGAGAGAGAGAGAGAGAGAGAGAGAGAGAGAGAGAGAGAGAGAGAGAGAAGGCCGCGGGCGCGTGAGCGGGCGAGCGAGCGCGAAAGATCATGAGTGGAATTGATTGCAATAGCGCGGTTGACATTTCGCCATTGTTTATGTTGCGATCACTGCGTCGGCGACATTAAAAATGCGACGTCGCGAGAAATTATTTATCAAGCTGCGCGCAAAACGATATTCCCCCGAGCGGACGGTCAATAAAACAATCATGTACTTTGCGTGACGTGTATAACGAATGCAAATACCGCCCGATTAATTGACAACGCACGTTCGATATGCAAAACGCGGCTAGTTTCGCTGCGGAATAACGAACAGTCGTGAACGCTCCTGTCCATTATGAAATTTATTCCGGTTCTTCAAAAGGAGCTAACCCTCCTCTCCCGCGATGCGAAGCAGCTTCATCCGTTGGCCTAACCTAACCTAACCTAACCTAGTCTAATTGATTACACTCGCGGCCGTGACGTGATATCATTCGCTCGACGCGCTTGATAGTGATCATTAGAAAAATTATATTACTACAAATTCCGGAATCATCAGATTATCGGCGCAAGCGGCCGAGAGGGAGGATCCTGCGGGCAAACGGACGAATCTCACGCTTATCAGCACGAGTCACGCGATTTCCCTCAATCTCGCGCGCGCACGAATCACGCATCGCGCTCAAGGGACAATCGAATCTCGGAACTCTCTCGGCAAAAAGTCGACCGTGAGAACATCGAGAGCGGCGTAGCCGAGAGTTTTCGCAAATCACCGCGGGCTCTCGGCCGACTAATCGCGCTCTGCGCGCGCGATGACCATTGATTTTCCCCGCCTGAAATAAGACGCTTCGGGCTGCACGACGACGACGACGACGACGTATCGAGATCGCGCGGGAAAGACAGCCGGCGAACGAGCGGAGGCTTTACGACCGCTCGCGAATGTGGGCGCGCATCGTGCAGCGTGAAAGTGATTGCCCTCGGATTGTTATTAAGCGTCATTAAGCGAGAGAGTCACGCGATAGCGGACGCGCGAGGCGACCGCGAGAGGAGCTCGGCGAGGCTCCGAGGCGGCGAGAATGCACGCGTATCATCGATTCGACGCGCTCTGCATCGCATATAATATATGCGTCCCATCGCGGAGGCCAAGTCAAAGCATTATTAATGCGCTCCGTCAGAATACTCGCGGCCCGTAACGTGGCGGCGGACACAGGGGCATATCGCAGAATTATGGCGTCATAATGTCGCCCTGTAAACCGTCTGTCTGTCCCGCCGTCCGTCCATTCGTCCGCTCTTCTGGATGCTTGGCCGGCGTTATCCTGGCGCATGTCGTGCCACAGCGAGAGTTCTATTTTCGTTGGCGTCGCTAATTATTATGAACGGACCGCGTGCGCGCAGTCAGTCGGTCGCGCGAAACCAGAGGAGGAGTTCCGGAGGGGAAGCGCACGCGAGTGCCGCCGCCGCCGCCGCCGCCGCCGCCGCGGCGAAGGCTGAAAATAACGGCGGCGTTGGGAGAAGGAAATGCCACGCGGGAAATGGTAGTCCGAGCACGATGGCTTGGAAATGCAAGTTGTCGGAAGACATCGCGCCGACGACGTCTCGGTCGAGTATTCGTCGCGAGCGCTGAGTCCGCTCCTCTCCTGCATCTCCCGTTACTTGCGAAGGACGTTCGCGCGATCGATTCTCGCGAGGAATTTTTGCGAAAACTTCACGGACGCTGTTTTCTTTCCCTGTCGCGGCGCATCTCTCGAAAGTAGTCGAGCGCAGCCAAAAAAAAGTAGTTTCCGAACAGCGAAGTTATCTAAATTTTAGAGCATTGTACTCTTATATATGGCCTCAAGAAGATTCCTCTAAGATTAAGGGGAAAATATTACAAACATTATTCTTAAAGTTAGAGGGATTATATTACTTTGAGGTACAAACGATTCTCTTTCGAATGGCGTTGGCCGTTTTCCGATATCTTATACTTGCTTGTTGGCTATTTTTCCCCCTCCCCCTATCTCTTTGAGGTACAAACAATTTTAAAAGTACAAACAGGTACAAACGAAGTACGATCGAACCGTATTGCGAATTTTCTTTTTGATTAAGTTGCTTGCCAGGTTCACATCGGTCATGACTGAACAAAAGAAGCCGACATACAAATCAACATATTCCTCTTTATATGAGAGGAAAATTAATTGATATAAGAGGAAATTCTCTTGAAGTAAAAGGAAAACAGTTAAAATAATATCTAATAAATTTTGAAGACGAATGGTTCATTTTAATCGCTTTATTGGAAGGAGTTCTTTTTCCGTAAAGGGCTTCGCTTAGAATATGAGATTATGGGAAAAATCACTTTATAAATAGAATACTTTTTTTCTTGAGTGCGGAAACCTGTATGCGATCGCAGGCCGTTGGAAGAATCGTCTCGCATCTTGGAGGAGGACGAGACGATATCGCAATCGTTCCGGTCGAAACGACGAAGTTTAATTTATCGCCTCGCGCGACACGAACCGGAACACGCCGTCGAGAATCGGTTGCACAAATAAAATATACGCCGCGTTTGTGTCGGATTCCGGCAAGAGTGCCGCGCGGTATTAACCCCTGTCATACATTTGCGCGGGAATTTTACAAAATCGCGAACAGGGGTTGTAAATAAATGAAAAAAGGCTCTCGAAACGTATCCCGAATGAATGCGGCGCGATCGATCGTGACAGCTGTCGCGCGTCGGACAAAGAGCGGCCCGGAAGCGGGACGTACTGACCGGAATGAAACAGAAAAGTACGGTATCGAGGGTCAATATTATGAGCACGGCGAACAACAATAACCAGAAATTTCCTACAGGAGGAGGCGGAGGAGAGTGGAGGATAAAGTGCGGGTGGACGAGACGGAATGGTCCATACACGAGAACTCCGTAAATATTGAATCCCGTTGCACTACTCTGCGGCCCGGCTGAGTGTGTAACGAGCGAGACAATAAGATGGAGAAAGAGAGAATCGAACGAGAGAGAGAAGAGAGAGAAGGAGAGAAGAACGAGAGAGAGAGAGAGAGAGAGAGAGAGAGAGAGAGAGAGAGAGAGAGAGAGAGAGAGAGAGAGAGAGAGAGGAGAGAGAGAGAGAGAGAGAGAGAGCGAGAGAGGGCGAACTCGTCGGAGGAGAGATCGCACACGGGGCGAGAATTTTGTAAGGCAAGGAACTTGGCACAAAAGACCCAGGAAAAGAGATCCATTATCGAGGAGGAAATACTGAAGAAACGGACGCGCTCTCTTCGTTCGCGCAATCTTGAAGACAAGTTTCCCCTCGCAGACCGC